TAGCTGAACCGCGAACCCTCCTACAGAGAGGGACTGGTAACTCCCAGGGGTTTTGGGGCGCCATGGTTTCTCAAGATCCCATCGGAAAGTCTCACGTGGCGGGGTAGACCTGAACCCCACATGGGACCCTCTTTACCTACCTACAGTGTTATGGGTTATACCTGCCAACTAAGGGGGCAGTTACTACTAAACTGTAGGTAAATAAGAGTCCCAGGAAAGCCCAAGCCCTGTGAACCATGAACCCTAAACCCTAAACCCCAAACCCCAAACCCCAAACCCTAAACCCTAAACCCTAAACCCTAAACCCTAAACCCGCCTCCGTGCTAGGAAACCCCGTTGCAAGCAGAGACGCCTAAACCCTGAAGCCTAACACCCGAATCCACTAAACCCGAAACCTAGACGCTACACCCTAAAGCCCTAAGCCCTAAACCCTTAATCCTAACCCCTAAACCCTACACCGCCCATCTTTCTCTCTTCCCAGCTTCTAACCAGGCTGGGGCGGCAAAGGCTTCGGCTACGGCGGTTGGGATGGCGGGAAGGCGAGCGATTGCAAGCAGGTTGTTTGTGGCTATCCATGTTAGGTTCACGTTGGTTCGGGGTTTAGGTTTAGGGTTTCGGCTTCATGGTTTAGGGCCTTCAGAGTTTAGGGTTTAAGTTAAACCCTAAAACCTAAAACCTAGACCCTTAGTTGGCAGGGACCGAAGGCAATCGTGCAATATTGGTGCCCTTCCCCTTGGGACCACCTCGTTTACGTTGGGCCTCCAATAGGTTTAGGGGTTTAGGGGTTTAGGGGTTTAGGGGTTTAGGGGTTTAGGGGTTTAGGGGTTTAGGGGTTTAGGGGTTTAGGGGTTTAGGGGTTTAGGTGTTTAGGGGTTTAGGGGTTTAGGGGTTTAGGGGTTTAGGGGTTTAGGGGTTTAGGGGTTTAGGGGTTTAGGGGTTTAGGGGCTTAGGGCTTAGGGTTTAGGGTTTAGGGTTTAGGGGTTTAGGGGTTTAGGGGTTTAGGGTTTAGGGTACTCAGAGGCACATGCGCACTTCTAAGTGGGGTGAGGGCCCAGAGCAGCCCCATAAAAATTCCCTACAGGGGTTAGGTTCCCTTCAGAAGCCCCCTTGAACCCAAAAAAGGGCACGGGATACGGGTGTTTTTCCAGGTTACTCTCTGGTCGAAGGGGGCCTAAACCCTAAACCCTAAACCCTAAACCCTAAACCCTAAACCCTAAACCCTAAACCCTAAACCCTAAACCCTAAACCCTAAACCCTAAACCCTAAACCCTAAACCCTAAACCCTAAACCCTAAACCCTAAACCCTAAACCCTAAACCCTAAACCCTAAACCCTAAACCCTAAACCCTAAACTAGAGTAGGGCAAGGATAGATATAGTCCACCCTAGGGTGCCTAAAATCCGCGGAGAGCTGCACGTTTGGCCTAGAAGCCTTCCAGGCGGGCTTTAGGGGTTTAGGGTTTAGGGCTTTAGGGGTTTTGGGGTTTTGGGGTTTTGGGGTTTTGGGGTTTTGGGGTTTTGGGGTTTTGGGGTTTAGGGGTTTAGGGGTTTAGGGGTTTATGCAGGATGTCATCGGACGGTTTAGGGGTTGAGGGTTTAGGGATTAGGATTAGGGTTCAGGCGGGCTCAGGGACGACCATTGTTGCGAGTGGCTTGAGGGCTTTTAGGGTTTGGAACTTTAGGGTTTAGGGACAAAACGGGCCAGTGGCCCGGGTGAGAATTTTGGCTTTGGGCTTTCGGGGGCAGGAAACCTCCCCCCCCCCCCCCTTCCCGAGAGAATCTAGTCTAAGACCACGTGTAGTAGCTTGAAGCCCGAAACTTACGCTTTTTGTTGCAACTCACTTACAAATTTCATAGGGGGATGCGTATTACCAAACATAAGAAAATAGGTTGGGATTCTTGAGGTAGATAATACTCAGGGAGAAGGTATAGTTTTGAATGGGTTAGGTCCTGGGGAGGGTGTGAGTTTTATTCGGCTTAAGTTTTTTAGGTCAATTTCCTGAATGTCCTGCCCCTGTGTTGGAAGGGCATGATGATGGGCGCTTACGGCGGCATGATGCCGCCAATGTGGCTTGTCTGATGGTACACTTTTCGCGAGTATTTAGGGTCTAGGGTTTAGGGTTTAGGGTAAGGGGTTTCTTCTCAGGGTCCTTCCGAGTCTCCGTGTCCATTATGTCAGCCTTATGTATAGGGTGTAGGGTTTTGGTTCCTTTCTGATGCCCCAAACCCTCAACCCTCTTTCTCTGCAAGTGAATCGCAGACTCTCAATCAGCGTTGTTAGCCGCTCGACCCCCCGTTTTGGCTTTGGTTCCCTTCTGAAAATCATGAAGCCGACAACGGCTCCTCTGCTATTTGCGAATGGTTTGTCAAGGTTTGTCCCTGGATATTTATCCGCCCATAATGAAGAGCTTCTGACCTCAGCATGAGCTCTTGGGCACATGTCAGTTAAGGTGGGCGGGAAAGCGGAAGCATCGCTAGAACATACCGTGTAGCAGAGAGCTGTCAGCAGCTTTTTCGGCGGGTCTTGTACTTCTTCTTACATGTTTGCTTTGTTCTCAAGTAGGCAGGTCAGCTAGAGTAGCGACCTGCCAGTCCACGCCATGCTGTCTGTCTGGAGCGTTTCCGGGCAAGAGCTGGCTGCTTCGGGCGACGCGCTCGAAGACGTGATCAGCTTGAAGCGCCACCTGCGAAGCTTAGTAGCCCAGTGGTACCCTTTACCCCTTTTTTTGGGGTATGGGTTCCCTTATAAAGTAACCAAAACCCATTTGGGGTATGGGTTCCCTTAAAAAAGTAGCAAAAACCAAAAAAAAAGGGCTGCCCTTGTGATAAGATGGTTACCGGGATGGGCTATTAGACCCTTTATCCCCATCATCAACCCTATAAAGGGCCTTTTTAGGGGGTCATAGGGTATAATACCCCTTTTTAGGGGGTCATAGGGTATAATACCCCTTTTTAGGGGGTCATAGGGTATCATACCCCGTCCTGGTTACTGGGCTACCTGAGGAAGCCGGCATGGCTTCCCAGTCTGCCTTCAGCAACTCCTGCGAGCCGGCTCTTGCTTCTTCGTCCTCGTGGGGGTAACATCTTACATGCTTAGAAGGGTACTTAAAACTCAAAATAGGAGTAGAAATGGTGAGGAAACATTCTTACATGTTTAAGGGTGCTTAAACTCAAGAAGGAATGGAGTTTTTGGACTGTTTGATACTATCCCAACACCCGAAACCCTAAACCCTAAACCCTAAACCCTAAACCCTAAACCCTAAACCCTAAACCCTAAACCCTAAACCCCAACCATGAGCTAGGCTTGGGAGACTTTGCTCCCTTAGCCGCAGAAGCCGGGCCCGTGGACCTCCAGCTCGTGCTGCTCTCCTCCCTCGGCCCGGAGCAGATGCCTCAGGCGGAATGCGAGTTTCTCGAGAATCTGGGGTAGCCCAGTGGTACCCTTTATGCCCTTCTATATACATTACATACATATATACATATATATATGTATATATGTATATATGTACATATATATATGTATGTATATATATATATATATATATATATATTTTTTTTTTTTTTTTTTTTTTGGGGGGGGGGGTTCTGGGTTCCCTTATAAAAGTAACCAACCAAAAACAAAGGGTGCCCTTGTTTATAAGATGGGTACTGGGCTACCAAGGAATGCTGTCAACACAGGCCATGTGGAAGTGGGCCGCGCTCTGCTGGAAGCTGGTGTCGACCCGAACATGCAGGACATGTCTCGTGCAACCGCCCTCATGCGTGCATCTTCGAGGGGTCACAAGGAGATGGTACGCTTGCTGCTCGATGCCGGTGCCGACAAGAACTTGCAGGACAGGAAAGGCCAAACTGCTCTCATGCGCGCGTCGCTCGAGGGCCACCTCGACATTGCACGTTTGCTGCTGGACGAAGGCCTAGAGGGTCCATGTGTATTACGATTCTGGCATTAGGTACCCAAAAACCATACTAAATAGGGTTTTGGGGTACCTAATTCCATAATAGTACTACAAATGGACCCTCTGGAAGGTGCTGACAAGAACGTGCAGGACAGGAAGGGCCAGACCACTCTCATGCGTGCATCGTTCGAGGGCCATGTGGAGATGGTACGATTGCTGTTGGACGCCGGTGCCGACAAGTACCCCTAGTAGTCGAGTTGGGAAGCTTTAACCTTCTTAGGGTAATATAAGCCCCTTATCATCCGAAAGGTTGTCACCTTTAAAGTACCCTAGTAGTCGAGTAGGTAACCTTTTACCTTCTTGGGGTAATATAAGCCCCTTGTCATCCCAAAGGTTATAACCTTTAGTTCCCCCCGAGGTTGCTGGGCAACTAAGGTACATAGAGGACAGGAGAGGACAGACAGCTCTCATGCGCGCATCGTTCGAGGGCCACGTCGAGGTAGTTCGTTTGCTGCTGGACGCTGGTGCCGACACAAGGGACAGGTCCAGCGCGTCCGCGCTCGTGCACGCATCTGTTAAGGGACACGGAGAGATCGTGCGTTTGCTTCTGGATGCTGGTGCCGACGAAGACTCGAAGGACGTGTCAGACACTACTGCTCTCATGCGTGCATCTATCAAGGGTCACGTCGAGATTGTACGTCTGCTGCTGGACGCTGGTGCCGACACAAACTTGGGGAACGGATTTAGCAGGGCGACGGCTCTAATGTTCGGATCTGTCAAAGGCCACGCCGAAGTTGTACGTTTGCTGCTGGACGCTGGTGCCGACACCAACTTGAAGGACGTGTTCGGCACGACCGCTCTCATGTTCGGAGCTGTCGCTAGGCCAATGGGACATTTTGCACATTTTTCCTTATTTGGGGGTTAAGAGGATGATGTTCAGGAAAAGTCCCTCATGTAGAGGTTTAAGAGGGTCATGTTCAGGAATGTTCCCGTATATCGGGTTTAAGAGGATCATTATGGGTTATGGGTTTAGGGTTTGGGGTTTAGGGTTTAGGGTTTAGGGTTATCAGGAATGTTATTTCAGAGGGTCTTAAGGGCCATCCTAGGTCAAGGGTCATCTCGAGATTGCGCGCTTGCTGCTGAACGCTGGTGCTGACAAGAACTCGCACAACCGAAACTTACTTTGCCAAGGGTTTAGGGTTTAGGGTTTAGGGTTTAGGGTTTAGGGTTTAGGGTTTAGGGTTTAGGGTTTAGGGTTTAGGGCCGGGTTTAGAGTTTAGGGTTTAGGGTTTAGGGTTTAGGGTTTAGGGTTTAGGGTTTAGGGTTTAGGGTTTAGGGTTAGGGTTTAGGGTTTAGGGTTCAGGGTTTAGGGTTTAGGGTTTAGGGTTTAGGGTTTAGGGTTAGCCAATAGTTGAACTTTGGACTTTTTGTGTTTCCTGTCTTAGTAGGAGTCATAAAGTTTGACCTTTTCATTCCGTTGTTATTGCAGAAGCAAGGAAAAGCCCAAACGGCTCTTATGCATGCATCTTTCCAGGGCCACATCGATATTGTGCGTTTGCTGCTGGACGCTGGTGCCGACAAGAGCCTGAGGGACGTGTCTGGCACGACCGCACTCATACATGCATCTTACGTGGGCCACATCGACATTGTGCGCTTGCTGCTGAACGCGGGTGCCGACGCACACTTGCGGTGCAGGCGGCTGTCATGGACGCATATTTTCAGGGCCAAGTCGCGAGTGTCCGGTTGCTGCCGGACACTAGTGCCGACCTCTTGATGGTCGTGCCAGGACGGGCTATTATACCCTATAACCCCCTAAAAAGGCCCTTTATAGGGTTGATTATGGGGATTATGGGGCCTAATAGCCCATCCTGGTGTCCGGCACTTAAACTCATGGCACGCATCGTTTGCGGGCCAGGGCGAGATTGCACTCTTGCTGCTGAACGCTGGTGCCAACAAGTCGCATAACAGCGAAGGCCTGACTGTTTCCCTTGGTAGCCCAGTGGTACCCTGTTTTCCCTTTTTTGGCTCAAGGTCCACTTATAAAGTAACAAACCCTAAGCCCTAAACCCCTAAACCCTAAACCCCTAAACCCTAAACCCTAAACCCTAAACCCTAAACCCTAAACCCTAAACCCTATTCTAATATGGTTACTGGGCTACCAAGTTTCATGCGCGCATCCTGCCAGGGAACGTCGACATTGTACGTTGGCTGTTTGCACGCTTTAAAGGGACTAAAGGAGGAACCCTTATAAGGGACCTTATGGGTTCTTCAGGGGCTACTTTGGTATATAGGGACTATATAAGGTATCTATAAGGACTACATTACATAGTCCCTATAATAGCAAGGTAACTATAAGGGCAATAATTATAGGGGAATGAGAATTAAGGTCCCTGCGAGGGTCCCTCCTTATACCCCTTAAAACGCTGGTGTTGCAGAAGATCAAGATGTGGGCAGGTTGGGGTCGGGAGTAGGTTCAATGGTGCTTTTTAAGTAGAGGGGCCTTGAGTAGAGTGTAGCCAAGGTACAGTAAATTGACAGTACATGTATAAACTTGACGAGACCCCAAACCCTGAACCCTAAACCCTCAACCCTAAACCCTAAACCCTATACTTGACATGCATACCACAAAGCATGAGACCGGCAGCCCTCAATAGTGTGGTCTTGGGGCCCTGGCGCCCCCCCCCCCCCAATTGTCTTAAGAGGTCGTGGCCCATGTTTATGTGCGATTCTATTTTTAAACTAGGACCCGGAGTAGGCCCTTTATTTTTCTTTTTTTGGAATGCGGTTCCCCTATGTCCCCTGTAAGCCAAAAAGGGCACCCTCTTTATTCCTAGGTTACTCGTGGGTCTATGTAAGTACGATGGCTAATGTTGGGGTTACATCTATAAACCCCCCCCCCCCCCCCCCCCCTTCCCCCCCCAACCCCCCAGGTTTTGTTTTGGTTTCCGGGATTTTGAGGGTGGAAAAAAAGAGGGGGTGGCAATTAAGTGGGTCTGGGGGTCTGCTGGTCTGGGGGTTTGAGGAAGCGTACCTGAAGCCTGGGATTTTCTCTTAAGAGAGATGGCTTCTCTAAACTTGAGGCTTCTCGCGGCCCCCGGGGTCTGAGACTACTATTGCCACCCTTTCTTATTGTCACCGCGGAGGCCCCCGCAAGGGGCACCCTTTGCGGATTTGTTTTTCGAACCCCGGCGGATAAGGATTTAAGTAAGGAAGCCGCTGCTTTGAGATCTCTGGTGACTTCCAGAAATCCAGGACCCGAAGGCTGAAGTCTTGAGCTTAAGGGAGTGGTATCTGGAGCTGCAGCTATCTCAAACGAGACTTGTTTCTCTAATTACCCAAGCCGAAGCTTCTGGAGCTGTTTCTGGCCAGCTCGGATGAAAAAACCTCCCGTAGTGCAACGTAGTCTTGGACCAATTCTCACCCCATTTAAAAATGTAACGTTAACATGAGGGTTCCGTATTTGGGGTACTTGTAGGGTTCCGTATTTGGGGTACTTGTAGGGTTTAGGGTTTTGGGTTTCGGGGCCCTAGCACCGATTGCGGAAACAGCCCTAGGGTATAGGGTATCGGGTTTAGGGTTTAGGGTTTAGGGTTTAGGGTTTAGGGTTTAGGGAACCCTAAACCCCAACTCCCCCAAGATGCGACAGCGAGGTATGGTGGCTACGGCAAGGGCAAGGGCAAGAGCAGCCCCCAGCTGAATGTAGCCCGCGCCTTGGTTCTCCAGGGCAATTATTCGGGGGGGTCTAGGGTTTTAGGATTTAGGGTTTGGGGGTTTAGGGCTTTAGGGTTTTTGGGTTTGAGGGTTAAGGGTTCTAGGGTTTTAGGGTTTTAGGGTTTTAGGGTTTTAGGGTTTTAGGGTTTTAGGGTTTTAGGGTTTTAGGGTTTTAGGGTTTTAGGGCTTTAGGGTTTTAGGGTTTTAGGGTTTTAGGGTTGTAGGGTTTTAGGGTTTTAGGGTTTTAGGGTTTTAGGGTTGTAGTGTTGTAGGGTTGTAGGGTTGTAGGGTTTTAAGGTTTTTGGGTTGTAGGGTTGTAGGGTTGTAGGGTTTTTGGGTTTTGGGTTTTGGGGTTTTGGGGTTTTTGGGTTTTTGGTTTTAGGGTTTTGGGTTTGGGTTTGAGGGTTTGAGGGTTTGGGGTTTCAAGGGTTTATGGGGGCATTTCTTGGGGGGTGGGGGGGTGGGTGGGCTGGTTTGGGTGTAATTAGGGTGCTGAGCCAAGTTCTGAGGAGCAGGCCGTCGTTTCGCTTGGTCGAGAGTCAGGGTGAACCCCTTACAGGCCTATCCCCTTATACTGACAGTCCTTAGTGGGGATAATAGTACCACCCCCCCCCCCCCCCCCCCCCCCCCCCCCCCCCCCCCCCCCCCCCCTGATACTCCCAATAAAGGACTGTTAGTATAAGTGGGAACATCCCAGGCTAAACCCCCGGACGCTGAATTAAACCCTTGAACCCAAAGGGGGGAGGGTTGGGCCGCTGCAGTGGCAGTCAAGGCTTGGGTGTTAAGGTGCTGGGGTTGAGGGTGTATGGCCTACCCCATTGGGTGATTGCTACCCTAAACCCTAAGCCCAAAAAACTAAACCCAAAAAACTAAACCCTAAACCCTAATCCCTACAGGCCCTTCATAAGTTTGATTGTGGTGATGAGAAGGTCTAGTATAGCCCATCTCGGTTAGGCAACAGCGAACTCGAAGGAGGTCAGTGTCCTTAGTAGGGAATGAGGAAATCAGGCACCCTGTATATAATCCCTTACAGGGTTAAGGGTTTAGGGTTTAGGGTTTTGGGGTGTATAAGGGTACCCATCTCCCTCCTTCCTTACCAAGAACCCCTAGGTTCAGGGCTTCAGCGGGACTTTGAGAACGAGAAACTATAAGGGTTTGGGGTTTAGGGTTTAGGATTGTCGTTGGCTGACAAGCGGCGATCGCATTGCACTGTCCAAGAAGATTTCTTTCGCAGCACGCCGGTTTGCCCTGACAAGGAAGATTGCGCGTCAGCCACTTACACCATGGGCTTAGGGCCTACCTGGGGCCCTATTTACCCACAGTTTCATGGGTTCTACCTACGAATTGAGGGGTAGTTCGACCCTATTTACCTCTGGGTTCCACCTACTAATTAAGGGGTAGTTCCTACTAAGCTGTAGGTAACAAGCGTCCCATGTGGGGCTTAAGGGGAGCCCCCACCCCCCCCACCCGCGAAACATGGAAAGGCCGACTCATAGCTTTACTGCTTGAGGTGGTTCAGCCTGTGGGACTCAGGACTTAGTTTAGGGCTTAGGGTCTAGGATTTGGGGTGTTGGGTGTGCAGGGCTCCTAGCAGCAAGCCGAAATCCAAAACCTTAAACGCAAAAAGGCAAAAACACACCCAAGCCCGAAACCCTAACCCCCTAAACCCTGACCCCTAAACCCTGACCCCTAAACCCTACACCCCCAAAGCCTTAAACCCTAAACCCCTAACCCCGAACCCCTTAACCCTAAACCCTAAACCCCTGCAGCAGGATCCGACCAAAAAGCTATGGATCGGCAACATCCCAGAGCAGGCCTCGCCAAGCCCCCCATTGAAGCCCCCTATGAGGATGGGTTTAGGATTTAGGGTTTAGGCGTGGTTTAGGGTTTGGGGTTTCGGGTTTAGGGTTTCGGGTTTAGGGTTTAGGGTTTCGGGTTTAGGGTTTGGGGTCTAGGGTTTGTAAGGGTTTAGGGTATAGGTTCTTTAACGGGGATTGCAGCTGAACTTACGGTCTTTTCGTAGGGAGTGAACCCTACGTATGCATCCCTCATCCCGCAATTTTGAGGGATTGTAGTCCTTGTAGCCGCTGATAGCCCAGCCCGGTATATAGCGCACAACATCCGCAATCCCCGCATCCAGGGTCCTGTTCTTCTGCAGAGGTTTGCCCTAGCCCTAAACCCTAAGCCCTAGACCCTAAACCCTAAACTGCACACAAGGAATAGGTAGTTCCTCAGCCTCAGCCGCCCTTGGAGGCAACTTGGAGAGATTTGCAAACCTTGGTTGACCAGGCCCGTAGCCGGATTTGGGGGTTTAGGGGTTGAGGTTCGGGGTTTTGGATTTAGTTTAGGATTTAGTAATTTACGGTTTAGGGTTTAGGGTCTACGTGCATATGTCTGTAAGCAGTACACACATGCAGCAGCAATTCTTGGGTTATGTCAAGATACCCTAAACCCTCGGCCCCAAAAGCCCCGAACGCTGCGCCCACCCAGAAGCCCTGCACCCCAACAACCGACAGTTTGAGCACTTGACGTTGAACCCTAACGCCTGAATTCCTATTCCTCTAAATCCCCTACATCCCCCTGACTACATCCCCTGAATCGATCTAGGGTTTAAACACTAATGAAACCTTAAACCTCAACTCCATTACCAAAACCCTTGCCTTCGAAGCCCCCCCCCCCCCCCCCGAAACAACTCACAAGAGTCATGGACCCGCGGCCCCCACTAGGGGCCCCCCATGAACTTTGATTTCCCAGTTCACGTGTGTGTGTTCCTCGGGATCGCGTGTAGGTCTATACAGGGCTAGTGGGCTTAGAGGGTCTCTAGGGTGTAGGGTCTAGGGTTGAGGGTTGAGGGTACAGAATGTAAAGGATGTATAGGGTCTGAGTTAGGGTTTAGGGTTGGGCAGTCTGCCCTTGGAGCCGGGGCGGGTGGAGTCAGACGGAGTCGCGACGTTCCCAAGTCAAGTGACTGGCAGGGAAGTCTCCGGAACAGGGCAAGTATATACTGGCTAGACTTGTCTACCTGGGTGGATCCCGCTGAGGCAAGTCTTTGAAACGTCCAGCACGCTCCCAGGAGCTTCCGCTTACGTTTGCACATGGGGGTTTACGCAATCAGGGGTCGCTTAGTGGTACCTTCTTGTGGTCCTTCTTAAGGGAACCCCACAATTCGGGGGCCCATTTCGGGGTCCCCCATTTTCGTAAATCCCCAAATGGGTCGTCGATCGAAGCATTCCGTACGCGGGAAGGAGAGGTTGTCATCGTGCGCGATAAGGGGACGGCGCGACAGGATTTGCGGATTGAATCGGCTGGTCCAGATTGAACTTGTGTTAGTGCGGAACCGGCAAGGTCCTCAGATCAACCTTCCAGAAGAGATGACTACTATTTGCTTAAGAACCCCCCAAAAAACAAAAGACAAAAACAACAATGATGATAAACCCTATATTACCCTTATAGGGAAGAACATGTTGATGTTTATATATATATATATTTTTTTTTTTCTTTTTTTTTTTGGGGGGGGGGGTGTCCTTAAGCAATTGGTAGAGAACGATGGCGCAGCTTCCGCAAGATCCTCTGAAGAGGGGGCTGAGGACATTCAGCTGCGGGCCGTGGACGTCGCAATGATGGGCTTGTAAGGTCCAGGGTTTAGGGTTTAGGGTTTAGGGCTTGGGGCTTGGGGTTTGGGGTTTAGGGTTTCGGGTTTTAGGCGAAACAGGAGGATCTATAGCTTTGTTATACTGTAGGGTGTTCCGGGCGTAGCTCAGCCCTATCAGAGACCGCAAACCCTAAACCCTAAACGGCAAGAAATCGAAACAGAGGGTTTCAAGGCCCAACCTCGTACAGACCTCGACTCCGATCCCTGCGAGACTTTCTGAGTTTTAAGTCTTGAGGGCTGCAGGTAGGGTTTAGGGTTTAGGGTTAAGGGTTTAGGGTTTAGGGTTTAGGGTTTGGGGTTTGGGGTTTGGGGTTTGGGGTTTGGGGTTTAGGGTTTAGGGTTGAGGGGCTTGGACGGGCCTCGGTGGGGTGTGAGGGTCCGTGGAGACCGAGCTCCTTTTCCCTAAGCCTTGAGCCCGAAACTCTGAACTCTGAACCCAAACCCCTACGAGGGTTTGGGGTTTAGGGTTTAGGGTTTAGGGTCTAGGGTTTAGGGTTTAGGGTTTCTCGCTTTAGGGTTAGGATTTAGGGTTTAGGGTTTAGGGTTTGGGGTCCCTAAACCCTAAAACCTGAACCCCTAAACCCTAAGCCCCAAACGGTCACCTTGAATGGAGGTCGTAAAGAGCCGGTGGGTGGAGATCTTCCGCGGCCGGGGGAAAGGCCGATTCTCTCGAGCACCGTGGGTGTGTTTCTTTAGACTCGATGGTCTCTGGGCTTAGGGTTTAGGGGTTGGGGTTGAGGGTGTTTAGGGTCTTAGGGTTTGGGGCTTTAGGGTTTCGGAAGGGTTTCTTTACTTGGGGAGGATCAGAGTTTGTTTGGGAAGAAGTTTCTTATTAGAAGGATGCACCATGATGAATGGTAATGGTGTCGTAAGGGGAAATGTTTATATATATATATATATGTATATATATATATATAGGTAGGTGGTCCTGGGGGGGGGGGGGGGCAGTGAGCATATATGTATACATACATCAGTAGTCTAGAAAGTTCAGAGGCGTAGCTGTTCTGTAAACGTTCTGAGAGGGATCCCCACCCTTCAGTGACAACCTCGACCCACACGGGACGAGCTTGATTTGGGTTATGGGTGCCATGGCCCTGGCAATCGACATGCCTACCCTAAACCCTTAACCCTTAACCCTAAACCCTAAACCCTAAACCCTAAACCCTAAACCCTAAACCCTAAACCCTAACTATGTCACTCCTTTGTTGTCATGCCGAAGTCTAGGGTATGGGAAGCTTAAACTCCAGCCCGCCGAATGGTTTCAGGCACCGCCTGCGTCGTCTATGGGTCCGCCGAGGAGGCAACTGCGCCAGCAATCGCATCCTGAGCTCACCACCAGACCCTATGAGTGCCCCAAAACCCAAGCCCATTCTGCACCCCCAACCCCCCAAACCCAACACTCCCAACCGAAACCACATAGGTCCTTTTCGACCCCTGATGCGCGGGGTTTAGGGCTTGGAATGACCCCAGGCCCTGCAAGTAACAAGGTCACAGCTTGATTTTTCTGTCAATCATCTGTACCTTCTGTTCTTGAGGAGTTCCCTTGTAAAAGGGTATTTTGGGGTTTGGGGATTTGGGGCTTGAATCCCTTGAAGGTATAAATCCCCTGTAGCAAAAGCCTCTTTTTGTTCCCCCCTATGGTTTTTGGTCGGATACCCGGAAACCCCAAACCCTAAACCCTAAACCCTAATCCCTAAACCCCCTAAACCCTTAAACCCCTAAGGACCCAGAGTAGGCCCTTATTCCCTTTCGAACGGGCTTCAGCTTCCGGCTCAGACTTAGGGTTTAGAGCTTCCTCCCTAAGCCCTAAGCCCTAAGCCCTAAACCCTAGCCCTAAACCCTAAACCCTAAACCCTAATCCCTAGCCCTAAACCCTAGCCTTAAACCCTAATTAAAGCCCACGAGGCGGAGCAAGCAAAGGGATCCCTCAACGGTGCGGACCTTTGCGGCTCCTCCATCGTGGTCGATGCCTGGGAGAAAGGACGGTCCCTAAACCCTAAACCCTAAACCCTAAACCCTAAACCCTAAACCCTAAACCCTAAACCTTAATTAAACCCTAAACCCTAAACCCTAAACCCTAGACCCTAAATCATCCTAAATCCTAAATCGAACCCTCCAAACCCTGAGGTTCCGGCTTTCGAGCCTGGGCTTTCCAAGGCTTCAGGTTTTTGGGAGGCTTAAGCCCTGAATCCCCTGAACCTCCTAAACCCTACACCCTAAACCTCCTAAACCCTGAACCCTTGTCGTGGTGTGTTGGGGTTCTGTGTGTCCCTGTGGGACGGATGCACGAACGGTTCTTTGGCTTCGGGCTCTCTAGGAGACTCGGTCTGAAGGTTTTAGGGTTCAGGGCTTTATAGGGTCGAGGGTTTCGTGGATCAGGGTTTCGGGTTTGAGGGTTTGTAGGGTTCAGGGTTTCAGGCTGCAGGGTTTCAGGGTTTAAGGATTTCAGTGCAAATGGAGGGTTTCAAGGTTTGGGTTTCGGGCTGAACGCTGGGCCTGGCCATTGGAGGATGAGGATGGGGCCGCTTAAGCATTAGCCCCCAATTTTTGAGATATATATATATATATATATATATATTTTTTTTTTTTTTCCGAGTGCTGTGTCGGTAATAACCGCTGTTCAATGAGATGCACGTGGGCAGCTCTCCATATGAGTAACCCTTCCGAATGTCCGGGGTTCCTAGTTTAAGCACCGCGCTATGTATACACATGTATACACATGTATACACATGTATACATATGTATACATATATATATATATATATTTGTTCACACTGACATAAGAGCAATAATATACCCAAGGGGTGACCATAAGTTAGAGAACCGTCCATATCCTGTGCCCACACACTGGCACCGGTGTAGAGAGGTTACATCCGACTCCCTCAAAAAAACATTGTGCACCCTGAGCCCCTGTAAATTAACAGAAGTTACATCGGGGTTTAGGGTTTAGGGTTTAGGGTTTAGGGTTTAGGGTTTAGGGGGTCTTCTAAGGGAAGTTACATGGCCCCTGAATATGGTCCCTTACCTTGGCTAAGCGCTTCTGAAGTATGGGCCCTTGCGCTCTAGCGGGTATGTAAGGGTTCCCTAGTAAGGTCCCATATGAAAAAGAAACACGGAAGACTCCGCTAAGAAAAATAGCCCCCAAGCCCGAATCCCAACTCCTCAACCATCTTACTGTTGGTTCGTAGGGAATCCCTCCGAACCAGCAGTAAGCCACCCTAAACCCTACACCCTAAACCCTAAACACGCCGTTCAGGAAGCAAGAGCTAGCCCCGGGATGTCCTGCACGCCGCAATGGCCAGGCACGCCTCCATGCTGCTGAGGGCAGGGGTTTAGGGTTTAGGGTTTAGAGTTTAGGGTTTTGGGTTTTGGGTTTTGGGTTTTGGATCTTGGATTTTGGATTTGGGCTTCGGAGGTTCAGGGGTTCAGGGATTCAGGGTTAGGGGCTTAGGGGCTTAGATTCTAGGTACCCCTGGACAAAAAGGAACGCCCAGGCGAAAAGGGGGCCAAGCAGACGGTTATTTAGAGGTTCATGGGTACTTGCAAGTAGGGTTATAAGTATGGTATACCCCCCCCCCCCCCCCCCACTTAGGGTACAAATGACCAGGCTTGCAATTACCCATGAACCTCCAGGTATGGTTGGATGAAGATTTCCAAGGCTTCCTTTAACGACACCTTGTTCTGGGTGCTTGTGCGTGCGCGTGCCCTTGAGATTCCACCGCCCCATTTGGGGCTCTACACATTCTAAGGTCTATAGGGTTTACGCACGCTACAAGCCGATAACTATCAAGTACCCTAAATCGAAACCCTTATGATTGAATGCCATCTTCTGCATTTCCTCATAGCCACCGGCCATTGATCCAAAGCTCGGGATGGAAGCCCTTTGCTGGAGTCAGCCATCATCATCCCTGAAGATGTCCGTCATCGTCGTACTTTTTGAGCAACAGAATCTTGAGAACAGGGTTTGGTAGTGCCTTGCTTGGGCGAAATGCCGGCCATAGTCGCTTTCTGCGCGCCCGTCTCTGTTCGTCTTCGTCCTTTGCCTAGGAATCTTTCTTGATTCCTTCCAGTACCAGTAGTGAAAGCAACTGTGCCACTGGCCGGTAGCTTGTTGAAGATGTTTTCCAGGGCCTAAACCCTAAACCCTAAACCCTAAACCCTAAACCCTAAACCCTAAAGCCTAAACCCTAAACCCTAAACCCTAAACCCTAAACCCTAAACCCTAAACCCTAAACCTAACCCTAAACCCTAAACCCTAAACCCTAAACCCTAAACCCTAAACCCTAAACCCTAAACCCTAAACCCTAAACCCTAAACCCTAAACCCTAAACCCTAAACCCTCACCCAGCTTCTTCAGTTGGAGGGCTCACTGAGCTGCGCGAAGCAATGTCAGAATCTTCTGGAGACGAGACGTCCGACGAGGACTCGCTCGTCGGGGCTTCCTCATGGGTTCCAGCTTGCGTTTCCAAGGTGGCTCCGTCGAACGCCCCCTGGATCTGGTCTATTATTAATACGATCCTCTCTGTTTGGTCCTTCCTGCTTGTGCTGGAAATAACCGGCACTTCGCTTTTCGACAGTCAGCATCGCCTGGAAGACTCACAACTGTACCTGGTGTATAACTTCGGGACGACCATCATCTGGTGCCTGGAGGTGACATTGACCGTCTTGGTTCCAGCGGAAGATGAGGGAGGTTGGCTTGATTTTTCCCTTGTTTGGATTGAGCTGCTTCTGGCCATCTACTTTTTGACCGACTCCATTTTGCTCTTTCAAAAATGGGCGAAGACGGGAGACTGGGAAAGTGAGCTCGCCGATACGATGCTCAACACCATTGGATACGTGTACTTCCTTATCAAACCAGGAGCATGTGAGCGTTTGATGTGGTGTAAATGGCGCGAACGAACAGGAAGAGTGACCAGCCAGCGCGGAGCGTAGAAGGTACCTCCCGCGCCATTTCGCTTCATTCCGATTAACACGAGTTGCGCAGGCGGTTCGAGTTTCACAGAGTCGGCTGTAAGCTTCAAACCGGGCTTTGGCTGTCAAAAGACCCCTGTACTCCTTAGGGGTTTGGTGAATATCCCCATTTCACTTGGGCCTAGGATCCCTATGCCCTAAGAACTCATTGAGCCATAAAGCAAAGGATCCCTAAACCCTAAACCCTAAACCCTAAACCCTAAACCCTAAACCCCTTTTCCATTCTTAGGTTGGCAGCCTGTAGGGGCATGGGGCACTCAGCGGCTGGTTCATAAGGGTTCGTGGCGTGGGGGCGTGGGGTTCGAGAGGTTGGTGGGGTTCGTGGGGGGGGGGGGGGGGGGTTAGGGTTTAGGGTTTAGGGTTTAGGGTTTAGAGTTTAGGGTTTAGGGTTTAGGGTTTAGGGTTTAGGGTTTAGGGTTTAGGGTTTAGGGTTTAGGGTTTAGGGCCTTTGGCTCTGCAGTCTTTTTTTTTGGGGGGGGGAGGCTTGAGGGTAGGGCGGGACAGTTCTCATAATCAGTATCACCAGCCTCAGTTTCACGATCATCACCGTTGCTGTCCTCATCATCATCATCATCATCATCATCATCATCATCATCATCATCTTAATCTTGGATTCTTATTATTCTTATTCTTCTCCTTCTTCTTCTTCTAAAGTCTTGGGTGTAGGCTTAGGGTTTAGGCATAGTGTAGGGTGGTTCAGGGGTTTAGGGGTTAGGGGTTTAGGGTTCTAGGTACCCCGGACAAAAAGAAGCGCCAAACGCCCGGCGAAAAGGGGCCAGACAGGCCCATCCTATTTGGAGGTTCAAGGGTACTTACAAGTAGGGTGACAAGCAGGGTATAGCCTTTATAGCCTTACTTTGGGTACAGACAGCCATACCCATAAGTACCCGTGACCCTCCCAGTATCGTTGTATGAAGATTTATATAGCTTCTTTTAACTGCCCCTTGTTCTGGGTGCTTGTTTGTGTGCCCGCGTCCTCGAGATTCCACTACAACAAGCCCTAAACTCCTAAACCCCTGAATGATTGTAGGCCGTATTCTCCATTTCCTCAAACCACCATGGGCCATTTGAGCCCCTAAACCCTAAACCCCCAGACCTTAAACACTAAAACCCAAACCCTAAACCCTAAACCTCAACCCTAAACCCTAAACCCTAAACCCTAAACCCTAAACCCTAAACCCTAAACCCTAAACCCTAAACCCTAAACCCTAAACCCTAAACCGCTAAACCCTAAACGCTAAACCCTAACCCTAAACCCTAAACCCTAAACCCTAAACCCTAAACCCTAAACCCTAAACCCTAAACCCTAAACCCTAAACCCTGAACCCTGAACCCTAAACCCTAAACCCTAAACCCTAAACCCTAAACCCTAAACCCTAAACCCTAAACCCTAAACCCTAAACCCAAACCCTAAACCCTAAACCACCATTTTAGCCAAGGCTCGGGATGAAGGGAACAGCCGTCACTGAAGGTGTCAGTCACCGTGTTACCTTTGGAGCAACAGAAGGTCCATTTGTAATACTATTATGGCACTAGATACCCAAAAACCATACTAAATAGGGTTTTGGGGTACCTAATTCCATAGTAGTACTACAAATGGACCCTCTAATCTTGAGAGATGCAGCTTCAAGGCTATCCATCGCACGTAAGCGGGTTTGGTGCTATAGGGGTCGGAAGAATTACTCATAGTATTCCCTTCTGGTCCCCTAAACTTATACTGTAATCACCCACCCAATACCCTATTTTAATTCCCTACATTGCTGCTTTCCTTGGGCCATGCTCGCTTTCTGCACGTCTTCGTCCTTTGCTGACGAAATCTTTCTTGATTCCTTCTGTTTCCTGTATTGAAAGCAACTGTGCCACTGGCCGGTAGCTTGTTGAAGCTCCAGGGCATAGACTCATCATCCAGCTTCTTCCGCTCAGCGCGCCCGCCACGCGCGCTGCGCGAAGTAATGTCAGAATCTTCTGGCGACGAGGCGTCCGACGACCACGCGGCCACCGTGGCTTCTTCACGGATACCAGCTTGCGTTTCCAAGTTGGCTCCATCGAATGCCTCGAGGACCTGGTCAATTATCAATGCGCTCCTCTCCGTTTGGTCTTTCCTGCTTGTGCTGCTTGGCAACCCAGTGGTACCCTTTGCGCTTTTTTGGATCAAGGTTCCCTTATCAAGTACCCTAAACCCTAAACCCTAAACCTAAACCCTAAACCCTAAACCCTAAACCCTAAACCCAAAAAAGGGTACCCTCATGAGAAAATGGTTTCTGGGCTACCAAGGCTGGAGATAACCGGCAATTCGATCTTCGACAGTCATCATTTTCTGGTAGAATCACACCTGTATCTGGTGTGGAATTTTGGGGCGAGCACCACCTGGTGCCTGGAGGTGACATTGACCGTCTTGGTTCCAGCGGAAAAGGGCGGCAGTTGGCTTGGTTCATACCTTGTTTGGCTTGAGCTGCTTCTGAGCATCTACTTTGCTACCGACTCCATTTTGCTGTTTCGACAATGGCAGAAGACGGGAAACTGGAAAAGTGAGCTCGTCGTCACGATTCTGAGCACCCTTGGATACTTGTACTACTGTCTCAAACCCAGGGCATGTCAGCGTTCTGGTGTCAATGGCGCGAACGAACAGGAAGAGTGACCATACAGCGCGGACCGGTTCAGGGTTTCGGGTTTGGGGTTTAGGGTCTCCCTCCCCATTTCGCGCCGCATTCGTGCTAGCACGAGCTGTGCAGCCGCTGCAAAATTCAAGACGGGCCTTGGCTGCTTAACGACCCTGCGTTCCTTCGGTGTTAGTGAATATATTCCTCATTCCAGGGGGTTACCTTCTCTAAGCCCTAAAACCCTAAACCCCATTGAGCCAAAAAAGGGCCCTCCCTTTAGTGTTCTTCGGTTGCTAGGCAGCCTAGGGCACTCCCGTTTCGTGGGGTTGGCAGGATTTCGGGTTCGCAGGGTTCAGGGATCAAACCCTAAACCCTAAACCCTAAACCCTAAACCCTAAACCCTAAACCCTAAACCCTAAACCCTAAACCCTAAACCCTAAAACCGAAGCTGGGTTTTGGGGTACCCCGCAGCCCGAAGCCCAATCTTGTCTTTCTGCCCAGAGGGTCCATTTGTAGTACAATTATGGAATTAGGTACCCCAAAACCCTATTTAGTATGGTTTTTGGGTACCTAATGCCATAATGGTAATACAAATGGACCCTCTAGGTTCTCACCGCTGTCCTCAGCATCAAAATCATCACCGTCACCGTCACCGTCACAGTCATCCTCCTCATCTTCTTCTTGTGGTTGTTATTATTATTACTATTATTATTATTTGTTATTGTGTTTTTTTTTCTGGGGCGGGGGGGGGGGGGGCGATTGTTGTAAGTCTCGTGTTCTGAGCATGTGTACTCCTACCGTCAAGTCAAACACCTCAACACTCAAAACCCAAAACCCTCAAACCTCAACCCTAAACCACCCCTACACCCGAAACCCCTAAACACTAAAACCCCTAATCCCGAAACCCTAAACCCTTACATAGGCAGGCACCTAAATTCACTAGGCCAGCAACTGCGTTCGTGTCACGGAGAAGTACCCACCCAGCGAATCCCATAAATTTAAGAAAACGTGAAGTTCCACCTTCTTCTTTCTTCTTTAAATGCGACAAGCCGCCAAATTCAATAACACCGTACCTTACCGAACCCTGAAATCTATGCCTTGAGCCCTAAACCCTGGGTCTTGAGCCCCTGCGTGCCTTGAACCTTAAACCCTAGGTCCTGAACCCCAAACGCTTGCCCTGCACCCTGCGTCTTGAACCCTAAACGCCTGGCCCTGAACCCTAAATCCCTGCCCCCGAACCTTGAACCCTAATAGGCCCTGAACCCTAAACCCCTGTTGTTGCCGATTGTTCGGAATTGCATTTAGGGTTGGTGCCGATTATTCTGCATTGCGTTCGGGTTGGTGCCGATTGTTGAATTGCATTAGTGTTGGTGCCGTTCGGAATTGCATTAGGGTTCGTGCCTGATTGGGCGGACTTGCATTAGGGTTGGTGTTTGATTGTTCGGAACTGCATTAGGGTTGGTGCCGATTGGCGCAATTGTTCGGAATTGCTTCAGGGTTGGTGGCCGATTGTTCGGAATTGCATAAAAGAAAAAAAACAAAACTAAAAATGAGATAGAAGTAAAAAATGTGAATATAAGTAAATACAGAAATAGATAAGTACAGAAATGAATCAGGATATATATATATATATATATATATATATGTAAATTGATAAGAGAGGGTTTTTGGTGACCCATCGACCCATGTGAACCACACACGCCGAGTGCAAGGTACATACCGGTGAATCGACACGGTCAGCCGCAGACGGCTGTGAGTGCGCCGGTGCGACTGGGTTTGGGATTTAGGGTTTAGGGTTTAGGGTTTAGGGTTTAGGGTTTAGGGTTTAGGGTTCAGAGGTTAGGGTTTAGGGTTTGGGGTATACTTGCAGACAAGCAAGGTAGTTGTTAATGGTTGTGTTCGCCAGTGGGGCTTTTTTCTTCCCATCCTATCAGGGTCTTAGGGTTTCGCAGGTGTTAATCTTTAGGGCGACTTTTTCCCAACCTCCTACCGCCGTCCGAAACGCAAAGCAGATGTCACCCCAAACGGGGGAACTCAAACCCCGAAACCCCGTGTCGATAGAGCTATCGTACATTGCGGTTATGATTGGGGGGGGGGGGCATTACTGCAGCCCTAAAACCTGATCCTTGGACCTTAAGACCTGAGCCCTTAACCCCAAACCCTCAGCCCTAAACCCTAAAACCTGAGCCCCTAGCCCTGAGCACTGAAGCCTGAAACCTGAGCCCTGAACCCTAAACCCTAAACGCGAATGATCATGAAGTGACCCCCTTCTTTGCCCACGGCACCACTCCGGCCCGCTGTCGACAGTAGCGCGGGGCCCAATTTCGGAACCCAAGAGGGTTTGGAGCTTAGGGCTTAGGAGGGTTTCGGGTTTGGGGTTGGTGTTTAGGGTTTAGGGTTCAGGGATGGTAGGTCCTGGTAGGTAGTCCGCGCAACTCCCCCAAATCCCTATCATAGGAAACCTCGAAATTGATACCCTCACCCTACACACTACAAGGGCTTAAGGTTTAGGGCCGTTTAGGGTCTGGCGTTTGGGAACGTGTGCTCTAGTTAGGGCTTGATGCCAAAAGGCACGTGTCTTTTCGTTCTGTACCGAGATGGGTGCCCCGTGGTAGTCTTTGACATCTTCGATGCCTCCCGCTACTCTTGCGATTCTTGCCCTAAACCCTAAACCCTAAACCGTATACCCTAAATCCTTTATGGCAGCCGATCATGGGACAGTGAGGGTCTAGGAGAAAGTTCCATGTGGAAGCTCATATGTAGGGGTTTAGGGTTTAGGGTTTAGGGTTTAGGGTTTAGGGTTTAGGGTTTAGGGTTTAGGGTTTAGGGTTTATTGTTTGGGGTTTGGGGTTTAGGGTTTCGGGTATAAGTTGATTACATGTCCTTCGCAGGGTACTTAGAATCATGTGAGTATAAGGAGCCAGCTCATTCTGGGTCCCTTGGTTGTATCACTTCATCCTCTCCTCGTGCCTGCACAGTCCCAACAGCACCATGAGCAAAGGTTTAGGGTTTAGGTTTTAGGGTTTAGGGAGAGCCAAACCCTCCTGAGCCATAAATTGTACACCTGACTGCGCCTACTCATACCTTCCTGCACCTGATTCCTAGAGAAACCTCCCTAAGCCCTCAGCGCAAATAAGAGAGCGAGGTGCAACTTAGCGGGTCATTGCTCAAGACTCCGCCTGCCCTTATCCTAAACTGTTTAGGGTTTCGGGTTCAGGGTTCCGTGTTAGTGTTATATACCCTTCAATACCCCAAGGCTCCAAATCGCCCAAAGTAGGTACTGTTTACAGGCTTTAGACGCCCATGTACATGTGGTTTGTATACTTGGAGCCCTAGGGATAGGTACAGCTTCAAAGCTCAGTTGAGGGTTCAGGGCTCAGGAGATGTGACAGCTAAACCCTCTAAGCCCTAAACCCTAAACCGCTGGCCTAGGCTAACCCAGAGGGTCCATTTGTAGTACTATTATGGAATTAGGTACCCCAAAACCCTATTTAGTATGGTTTTTGGGTACCTAATGCCATAATAGTAATACAAATGGACCCTCTAGGTAAAGGCCTCTGAACTTGGCGACCCGAACGTGGAGGAGTAGGCCCTCTGTCCCTTTTTGACCCTTTCTATTCCTGGCGTACTCTTGAGTCTCGACCTAAAGACACGAAACTTCGCATGCAGCCGCGGGAAGCGTTTCGCAGACGTAGGCCGAAGCCAGAGGAGGTTGAGGAGGATCGAACCTTTGCAACGATCTCTAAGACGCCATTCTACCTGCTTGACCCCCACCAAGTACCCTAAACCCCACAAGCTCGAGTACCCGAAACCGTATGACGATCCTCAACACGGAGCCCTAAACCCTAAGCCCTAAACCCCAAACCCTAAACCCTCAACCCTAAACCCTAAACCCTAAACACCAGGCCTTTGCATCCGCCTCAGCCCAGAGTCTGAAGCTCCATGCCCCAAGTACCTGCTGGAGGACGACTCCCCATTTTCATACAGTACCTTGGGGACGTTTAGGGTTTAGGGTTTAGGGTTGCTTGCGTGGTTGTCGGTTGCTTGTTTGTGTTGCTGCCCGTGCAAGCATCACTATGTCCCGGACTTCATCCGTTGTTCCCTGTACCCTGAGCTCTCAACCCGCAAAAACCCAAACACCTAAAGTCCCAAGCCGCAAAACCCCAAACACCTGAACTCCTTAACCCCTCGGGTTTAGGGTTTAGGGTTTAGTCTACTTGAACATCCTCATCAACCCCCACGACAGCTCAGCGCTGGCTCGGGGCTGCTGAGGGCAGCCACTGGTGGAGATAGAGTTTCGATGGCGGCTTTCGAATCTAGGTAGGCCCCTGGGACATTTTATATTTTCCCTTATTGTATTCAGGAATATTTTCAGAGGGTGGGTTTCAAGGGCCATCCTAGCAATGCACAGCTTGCAGGGGCATCCTACAGATTGCGCCGGGATACATGGTTTTGGGTTCAAGGGTGCATTCCATGGCACATCTGCTGCCTCTCGGTGGCCCTGAACTCCTGAGCGTCTCACCCCCTGCCGAGGGGCCGCGAGGATGATAGTCCAGCCTGAAGTTTGACAAAGAGTGAAACGCAACAGGTGGAGGTGTTTTGGTCCTAAAACACTGTGTCGAGGTCGTAGGGTTCAGTGGGTCTACGAGGAGTCAGTCCTGTTCTCACGAATCGGCGATCGGCGGGGTCCCACGCAAGACCGATTTCAAGCTGCGTGGTCATTCCGACTCCTTCGAAGCAACACTGGAGGAGGAGCAGCACTAGCCATATCCAGCAGCCCCTACCCACAAACCCTGTACCCCGAAGCACCTCTGCTCCAAAGGCCTCTAAACCCTAAAGCTCCAACCATAAACCTCAGAGCCTGAATCTTCAAAAGCCAAAAGCTCCTTAATACCTCTAGCGAATGTCACCTTACAAAAAACCCTCAAGCCCTAAAACCCCTAAACCCTCAAGCCCTCAAACCCCTAAACCAGACAACCGGAAGCCCTAAGCCGGAGCCACCAGAAACCTCACGCGCCACAATGAAAAGCGATGGTGG